TCCTCGAATTTATCCCAGCAAATCGATTCATTGCTCATTTCATACCTTAAATAAAAACATGACCATTAAAAAAAGAATATATTAGAATAAATGGCAAAAAAGCTATCTGACCACTCCCCCTATTCGTATGAACGACCAGCAATGTTGCGAAATACCCAAAAAATTAAGCGAGCCGATACTCTTACAGAGCTCACTTTCTGAAATTATGCACCGAAGCATTCCTACATATTGGGGCAACCACACAAATTTCCAAGAAAAAGCCCACAAAAATCAGTGAAACCATCACAATTTGTATAAAAGGATCGAGATTTAAATTGTGGAATATGAATTACAAGGGAAATGGCAACAGGGGGAATCAAAAAAAGACAGGAAATTGTGAAGGTCAGAAGCTCGATTCACCCACAATTCACACGTTAATCATTTGCAAAAGAAGTTCCGTTGGTGACAGCTAGCCTGACTTTTTGGCTTGCGCCAGTACCATTTGACCACTAAAACGAATAAAAAAGAGGATGGTTGTTCCATTGGTGAAATCGGGGCAGTTAGTAATTTTTCTACACTTGTGCAGTTCAAATTTACTAAGCAACAAGATCCAACATTGCTGGTGCATTTAGTACCAACGGCTGAAACACTTTCTCGTGCAAATCTTTACTTTTTTTTATTAAAAATGAGACTGATAATGGTTTATCAAGCATTTCTGGCAAGAAGAAAATCGTGCCTGGGTTCCGGCATCATATTCAAAATTCAATGATTTTGTTCAAATTTTCGCCTTTTCCTATGCAAACTACCATCTCTAGTGATTTTTGCGCTCTGTACAAACCCACAATATTGTGAACAGCCGGTAAATACAGGAATCTGATTTGATGAGTAAACTGAAGAACGAAAGAATGACTGAATGAGAATTGATAACGAACGTTACTAACCGATCGTTGTTAGCTGGTTTGAAAAACAGTTCACTAGTAGCTGTATACAACAACGGTAATGCAATATCAAGCGGTTCACCATCTGTTTCAGCAATACCACAAAAATCGAGCACATCATCACGCATTGAATGAATTTCGAACGATATATCCATATGATTTATGAACTATAAATAATGCAAATCTGCTTTAATCAAAAAGTCAAAATCTACCGTACACATGCTCTATGGATGCTGTAGGTTTTGACCCACAGCATTCACACAGATTGGGTACTGTAGCAGTTGGAAGTAGCCCGAGTAGCAACAAATACCAGTAGTAACCATTTACTGGTACGGTCAACGACAATCCCCACCTCAGTAAACTGCTTTGCAAGTAAGCTAATGACAGATTTGACTCCTTGGCTTGCGCCAGTACCAACTGAGCACTAAAACGAGTGAAGACGGTTGCTTTGTTGGTAGAATCGGTGCAGCTAGTAACTTTTAAGCTTCTACATATTTATGCAGTTCAAATTCACTAAGCACTGAGATCCAACACCCCAAGTACAATTAGTATCTTCGATGTTCAAAATAAGAGTAGCGTCAACTGCCAGTATCAACTCGTAAACCCAGGCTGGAACGCACCAGGCGGGCCGGTGCGATTATGCGTTTTTGCACTTTTCGTGCCG